AGCCACTTCATCAGTTCAGTCGTGTCTATGTATTAATACGAATATATTCTTATTTATTTAACACAACAGATAAGCGAAAGGAAGGATATCGTTCATTAATCATTACACAAAATCGCAAAATTTGCCTAGACATACAAACTATCGGCAGTGTTTATACATCTGGACTTTAAGAATGAACAGAGAATGGTATAATAAATAGAACACACAATAACATATATGTTGAAGAGAAGTCTATATTTATTTTTAAAGTTTTCAGACAAAGGCTGACACTTCGAATGTACCATTGTATGTGTGAACGCCTGTTAATTTGTCTCCACCACACCAGACTATCATCTGTTGCACCTGCCACATTACTTGCAAAATCCACGAGATTTGTTCGCTCGATGTCGATGCTCCAACCAGATTGATCAACCATCGGTAGATACTCATTATTTGATGAGCTAAAACGTGATTACTCACAGTAGCGTAGTTCGAAGCGAGTACTCCGTTAACAACGATAGTGCCGGATTCAGTGAGTGGAGCATAGTATCCTTTTTGCTTTGTCAATTGAATACTGATAATTTCACCAGGAACAATTTGATTGTTATGAATGACCTGTACACGTTCACCGATACGAAAATGTCCTGCGAAACGAACGTTGTCAGAATCGAAATCAAAGATAAGATGATTGGCAGATACAATAAATGTTGAGGACGAGTTTAATGCAACTGACTGTATCTCAATTGCGAGAAAATCGAAGACACCGTCATGTTTCGCATGAATAAAACCAATGATCGGTTCATAAACGTTATTTTTGTTGACAAGTACTCGATCACCGATCATAATGTCTGATAGCGCTTTGAAGCTACCATCATCAAGAGCAATTTGGCTTGAGCCAGGAAAGCATTGCGGTTCTCGTGGTATTGATACGCATGTGTATTTCATGCAAACATTCGTTGAGTTTTCTTCACACGTACAAGTCGAATCATAGGTTACTGCGGCGTTGGCACCAGCCGTGATTCTGTTCATCAAAATGAAGACAAATAAAACAAACATTAATGACGACATTTGACTATCAACGATAGGATTTATATTGTATTTTGTTTAATAATGAACTTGATAACTGCTATTGATTGAAATGTTTCTTTATATACAGATGATTTATCTAGCGATAATGATGAAATAAATATAATTGTCATCAACGAGAAAGTTATTATGATACAATAAATCAAGTCACTCGTAGTAGAGCTTATAATCATCTTGGAATACAAAACATGAGGGAGAGAGTTAGTTTCCTTACTTGGTTTATGATGAGAGATGAGCGAAACTAGTTTTGAAAAACTAACGAGACCGGGACCAGTCTATAAAAAGTTGGTCCCGTGGAATAATTACTTTTAAAAAAATAGATGTTCAGAAAGTCACGACGTTCCTCATAGATTTTCGTACAATAGCTCTTAAGGTTTTTCATGAACTACACATTTGTTCGACCTTTCCAACTTTTCAAATTTTTTTGAAAAGCACTGTTTTTTACGGAACTATCATATCGGGACTGAAAAACGTTGATTTCGCTCATGTCTATTCATGATACTGTTGTGGAAGGTAATATGTACAATAGTCAGTTAATATACTGCAGTGCTGAAATCGGTACCAGTTAGAATTACACCTCAAACCGATAAAAAACTAGCAAAGTATTTTTTAATTTGATTTTCAGAAGGAATTTCCCTCAGAAATGAAACAATTTGCCAGCACATGTGAGAATCTGCATAATAAAGATTCTAGAACATTTAACCTTGAAATAAGTGATTGAAATAATATCTGTCTTGCTAATTATCTTATTTATGAGGACTGAGAAAAACGCGAAAATCTTCCTTTTTTTGACCAAAAACAGGATCAAAAAGAGTCGATTTTTCAAAAGTTTCAACCGATGCAATACTGGTTTGGTTTCAACCCTGATATATCGTTTGATAGAGAATTTAATGCTAGACAAAATTGTATATTTAACATGAAGATCAAAATAAAAAATTGACTGGAACATGTTTCAAATACCGTCCGACTGGTCTAGTACTCAGGTACCATTGAAGTAATGTATAAAGACGATTCGATACTTTTCATAGAGATCTGAAGTTATTTTTGTGTGAGACTAATACTTATCAAGGTCTACAAAACTGTAAAATTAGTGTCAAAAAAAGCTTTTCACTGTTCTTTTCTAGGAACTAGAGACCTATAACTCTGCCATATCGTTCAAATAGAGTAGAATATGTGGGTTCGAAACTATTGAAAAGAGATAATTTCAATTCAATCATCGTGATCACATAATTAACTTGTTCATTTTGATCGAAGATATGATCTAGTACGATATTAGAGTTCGCCTATACAGAACAGGTCCCGAAGTTTATAATTCTAAATTCTTGAAGGATTGGAGGTTCATTTTGGATCAATATCCCCTTGCCTAAGACTGAAAACTAATTAGAATCCGGCAGTATCACTTTAAAAGTGAGATTTTTACGTCCTCGAACGATACGATACAATTCAAATAGTATATTGCACGTCTTTTTTTTTCACAATTTAAAAAATCTTCAAGTCTATTCAACATCTCAAGATATAAGAAATATTCGATGATAAAATCGAATAATTTAGATCTTAGTAAAAACATGATAAAGGAAGGAGAATCATCAGCGAATGAAACTGGCTTCCTCCTCGAATTGACTTTCTAACCATTCGAACAGTTAATTTAGATGTCACAAATCAATTGCCAGTGAAATTATATTTCTTGATCTCATATTACTGGCACAGAGCCTAATTAAAAAGTTGATACCATTTCATCGACTGTGGGATTATTATGTGAAAATTATTTACTCACTTTATGTTTGGCTCTCTATTGAATATTATACAAATAGGGATGTAGACGGGATGAAAGAAAGGAGACAGTGAGTGCCCGTTTTTAAAAGAAAACCTTAAGAGACGTATGAGAAAAAAATTTTTCTACACTACATCCTCCTACTGAGCTACTTCAACCTTGATTTATGTTTTTTTTTTCATCTATGTGTGCATCTTATATAGCAGTTAGTATAACACAAGCGGTCACGTATGAGAATACAAACAAATATAGGCAAGGTCACTGCTCGGTCACGAGGTCATAAGATGTAGAGAAGGTCACATATACAAAAGGATATGTAAGGGTCAAGAATCGTCCTATTGTGGAAGTATTATTTTTCGAAATTTGCTTCTTTAGTTCAGAGTCTCTAAATGGGAGCTTGTCGGCATATCTATAAAATATGAAACTTGATCAACACTTCCTGAATTCGATGTCTGAATTGTTAATCGCATCAGACATTGCCTATCGTATATTTATCTTCTCTAAATGTCAAGTGGCGATCTTTCGATAGACATATTTCTCTTTATTAGCGAATCAATAAGAATAAAATCATTTCTTAACATTAGCATCACAGATAATGATAAAAAAAAACTTTGGAATTAGAGAAAAATTACTAATATCTTCAACCAAGCTCTGTTTAAAATGACAGAATTTATATGAACAACGATTTTGAGAAACATTAAAAAAAAGTTGAAAAGCTAAAGTCACCACATTACCTTTTTTCTCATGTTTATTGACGAATGAATTTGTTTATGTGCTCACTCAACTTCAATGCACTTTTAGTCTTTAAAAGAATGTAATATTCTGTTAAAAACTCATCGAAGATTTGAGCTGATATGACTTTTTTTTTAACGTTTCAGGAACTTTTTTTTATTTAGTCTTAATATAAAGGATGTAAGTGTAGCAAATTATGTTCAAAGGTGCTGAAAAATGCTGAGGTACTGAGGGAGAATACAGAGGAGTTCTAAGCCTGCACTTTCTTCCTTGATTTATTGTGAATCAATGAAAAATAAGCAAGTGCCTCATGAAGAAAAAAGGTAAGTTTATGTACAACAAGAAACAAATGTTAGCTGATGAAGTGTCATTTTATCACAGCAACATTTTCTAAACTTGGAACAAAATAAATGAAAAAAAGGTTGGCTTCACAAGACTCGAATATTTTTTTTCATTTTATAGAACATAGAATGAAACCATAGAATAAACATTTTTGATTTGATAAAGAACATTTGTCCTTCAACAAATATATCAATTTTCGAAGTTCTCTTAATGAAATTAACTATTTGCATTTTGAAATTTCTAAAATTTCACTTATTCTTCAACCATTATTCTTCTTTTTTTTTAAGAAATGTATCCTCATCAACATATTAATGAATATTTCTTTATTCAACAAAGTATTTTCTTAATTTTAGGTATTTGACATTTTCTACGATAAACAAATACAAGATCTTAGGGCGGAATAAATCTAGAAATAAAAATTCTATCTAAATTTGAGTATTTGATCATATAGAAATTTCGAAATTTTATTTTTTCCGCAAATGTTGAGGGTGTGGGGTGTAGGTCTTCTCTTCATCCACACCCACACCCTCTAACAAACAACAATGAAGGAATTGATTCTCGAATAATTGTTGAATCAGTACCAATCAGTGATATTATTTTCAGCACATCATAGTAAATGTAGGCGAGACTTAGTGATCGAAATTTCTACATTATAAATTTCATTATGAACAATTCATACATAAACAGCTTCGATTATAGTGGTCATTGTTTCAGTGGTCAAAGGTCAGATGTTACGCGTTTGAAATGAATCATCATATTTCACCCAGAATATTCAACCATTGAACAGTTACTATGGATGAAACTAAAAATTGGAAATGATTCGAGTTTGATTCAATCTAATTTCATATTCGAAAGTATAAAACGATCTTTAAGAACGAAAACAAAGAGTATTTGTCCTGAATTGAAGAAAGTGAAAAGATAAATATGATTGAGAGAACGGCAGCTGTTTTGCACTCTCATTTTATTCTTATGGCTTTCTTCAGCGTATATTATTGTTTTTACGGAGATATTAATCAAAATCAGCATCATTACAGTATCGTTCTATATAATTGCACTTACTTCTATTTAATTGATTACTACAGTTCAACAAATGATGGCTCTTACGGCTGAAAGTTCCATTACTACGTACACATCTGCTTCAATCCTTGAACTCGATTCAACAAAGTTTGAAGAGATTCGCAATGTTATCAACAACGCGTATCAATCACGTGCTTATCTTCTCAAAGCTGATGCTGAGCGTGTAAAAACTGCTGAAACAATGGCTGAGGAATTACAATCAGGCGGCTTTCTTATTGTTCTTAGACAAAGAAATGAAGTTGTCGCGACGGCTGCTGGTATACCTGTTGACGATGAGAGTTGGAGAGCAGCCATGGTTGCAACGAAACCAACACGTGTTCACTGTGGCTTCGGAACTCAGGTCATGAGGCATCTCTAGTCTCTCGCACGCAATGCCAAAATGAAGAAGATCATTTTACGACATGTTATTGGCGAATTCGGCTTGATTCCATTTTATCAACGCTTAGGATATTCGATTACGGGAAGGTACTTTCATGGCGAAGGCGGATCAACGCAAGCAGTTCGAGAATACGAATTTACGACGATGAAGCTGATCTTGTGAATTTAATTTCTCATTTGACAGTTGTTTTTCGTAGAATTTACGTATTGGAGTATTTCCAAAGAAGCATTTGTGAGCATACAATAAGTTTTTAAATCCTTCATAATATTCTACAAAAGTCTTTCAAATATTTATACTTGTTGACTAATAAAGTAAATAACTTACTAGATGACAAAAACTCTTATATATACACACATTTTTGATGAGTTTGAAGATAGATTACTTGGAAATGTTTGATCGCTCTATTCGGTCGCATAGGTTCACTAAGATCTTATTGGTCTAATAAAAGCTATTAAGCTGAGTTATTGTAATTAGAGCTGGATCCGTCTTTTCAGTAAATCATTATAACGAATGATACAACAATTTCTGAAAAAAAATTCAAAACCCATATCTCGGTCATTCTAAATCCTACAAGTCTATGTTTTGTTTGAAAGATCTTATCGTCATCTACAAAAAATGTTTAATGGCTAATAAAAGAAAAACGCCATCGGTACATATTTTTCGAAGGTTTTCTGAACATCACCCATTGTACACTGTAAAAGTGATGTATTAAGTTGTTTCAACTTTTTTATTCAACGCTTGAATTGTTTTAAAAGTTTTGCTTTCCAATTTTTTCGTATACTAATTTGTTCCAGCCTAATACTATCGATGATATGCCTACCTCAAACTCTGTCAATGTGAACATCAAATCTATTCCTTCGAACATCATAGATCATTGCAATGATACATTTTATGACTTTGTTCGACTCTCTCTGCTTACGTACTATAGAAATTTTGTGCAGGTAACCAGAACTCATTAGTTTTTAATAGTAAAGTGCGCAGCAAAAGTTTAAGACACCTTCTACTTTTGTGTTTTTTTGTGAAAAAAGAGTAAGAGATATCTTTTGAGTGTTATATGTAGCTATTGGCAAGGACTATATAAAACAGTAATTCTTGATCTAAATAATTGCTCAGCTATGAAATAGGAGCAACTGCAATTTTTTTCCCATTAGTCAAAAGTTTAAGATATTTTTAGTAGGGTGTGGGTGGATGTGGATGTGGGTGTGGGTGTGTGAGTGTGTGGGTGTGGGTATGGGTGTGGGTGTGGATGTGGATGTGAGTGTGGGTATTGATTTTGCGTCAACAACCACACCCCACACACCCACATCCAAGGGCTATTCCAAAGAGAATTCTGGTTCATTTCAAAACGTTCGGTATCGAAACGAAAAGATCTATGTTTCGATCACTTTTTTGTGTTATTCTAATAATTCAATTGCATGTTTTAGCTTTTCCATCTGTTAAATCAACAAATAAAAGGGCTTCAGCAACTTCTACATAACTCGCAAAACAATCTATGACAAAACGCGTACATTACTTGAGTCTTCAAGTATGTCGAAAAATAAATTTTTCTTTTGATATATGTTAGTGTTGTAATTCAAGTACAACAAGCAACTTCTCTACATTTTTTAGTCCTTAACTAGTAACGTTCATATCTCAGCCAAAAAGGCACATCGAGAGAAATTCTTTTAGGATTCTTCTGATGTGAGTGTGTAGGGGTGTGGGTTCAAAAAAAAGAAAATCCACAACAACACCCACACCCTTGATAATGATGTTTTCCATATAAATGGACACTTTTTCAAACCATATGGATACTTCCTGCAATTAAGGGCCACTTATTGCTGCTATTTTATGCCCTTAGTATTTATTAATCGTTGAATGATCATCTTATGCAGTCCTTTACTTTGTTGATAGTGTTTACACCGCACAGTATAAATGAAAAGTATAGGTAGCTTACTATTTTTGTTAATTTTCATCATTTACAGATTGATTAATTATGACACTAGTAAAATTTGGTGTGTAGCAATGGTGTATTCCTTCATTAAACATTTGATTCTCTCTAGAGTATCATAATAGTTTCCACTTTGCTTACGTTATTAAATGTTCATTTATCAATCTGCTAACAAGTTTATCTATCTCAAGAAAAATTCTTTTCGATCAGATAATACACAGTGAACAATCACCATTGCTTGCCATCGTACTCATCATCATCAAAAAACGACACGGTCACCTAATTTGATTAGCTTTTCTACAAATGATTACTTTTGACATACCTAATTAATCATGGCCAGCTTTTTGCACTTGATTTATTTTTTCATTTATCATCAAAAAATGATCAATGTCAATTGAATTTTTATTTTAGCGGTTTGCAGCAGTATTGAATTGAATTTAATATTCATATATGTAGTAGTCTTTCTCATTTACAGTATTCTTGTGTTCTTGTTAGCTTTCAGTTAACATTCATCATATAAATATTTGCTTCAACAGCATTTTGTCGTAAATCTACTACAATGAGCAAGTGAATTCAAAATATTACCGTTTATTATTTCGCAAATCGTTTGCAAAAGACTCGATAGCCAATTTTTGCATAATCATTCAATTGCATGCTATTCATAAATTATATAACTACCTGTACTAAATTAGTTTGTTTGTCTGTCAGTAACAAGGGTTAAAAATTATCGTTTTGTTAATACGAAAGCGTCTTTTTTTAATTTGAATTTGTCAAATACATGCATCAAAAACAAATCATTTCTCGACCACAAGAATATTTCCTATACCCTCAAGAGCAAGACTAGTTTATCTGTGTCTACTATTGATTCCCTTATGTATCTATTGTTAGCTCAGATTTAATAGCCAATCATGTCATATTCAACAGTTCTCTATTTATTTTTAATATTAAGAGATATTAAAGGTACGTTTTTATAAACGATAAGAATTATTACATTCAACTAAACACTCATTTTATTTCTTGTTGTCTTTTTCTGTATTAAGAAAAAGATGAATCTAATAAGTATTGATATTTATCTATTTTATAGTCAAACAAAGCAAAAAAAAAGTGGAGAACAAACAGAAAAAAAGAAAGTGACATTCAATGAATATCTTTATTTAGTCTTTTAAAACTCTCCAAATGATCCATTATTATTTGTCAAAAATCGATTGAAATCAAGTCTTGTTAAGAAAACACCTAAATGTGGCAAAGCATTATGTTTTTGAACCATTCCTAATATTCCAAATAAAAGTTTAATTTCTTCATTAAAATCACGTCCAAATTGTCGTAAAATATTTTCATCAAGATTAGTATTATTTTCTTGTTGTTTTGCTGTTAAACAAAATGAAACACATATTGATAAAATATTTCTTATTGATTGATATGCTGTTCCTAAGAGCATAAATGAATGTTGTTGTATATCAGCTAAAAATAATTCATGTAAATGTTTTATTTGTTGAAAATCAGTACTTGATAATATTGAACGTATTAATTGTTGATATTTATATTCTAATACATCAATTTGAATATAATATTGAAAATTATTTATAAAAAATGACATCGTATTTCTTAAATGACATATTAAAGAATTTTGATGTTGAGTTTTTAATGTTAACCATAAATTATTTAATTCATTTTGAACATAACGTAAAATAATTAATAAATGAAATATATCATTATAACGTTGTTTACTATTTTCACTAAAAAATGCTTTCATTGGATATTTCACTTTATATTGAATTGATAAATTCGCCCAACCACATGACCAAAAATCAAATGGACCATTGGAATTATCTGATGTACCTTGAACTCGTGATAGTAAACGACGACGTCCTGTACTTGTTTCCTATGAAAGAAAAATCGAATATCGACAGTTATTCATAGTAAATTGTTTAATACATAATCAAGCTTATTTTGAATAACATGAATTTTCTTTATCTAGTTCAAGTGAGTAGGAATGGATTAGATTGAAAATATTGAGCTGCTGTGAGAAATAGATATAGGAATTATGAGAACACGTACTATTCAGTTCGTTAGTCGAAAGGAACAGTAATTCTGCCTTTCGGTATAGGATGATGTCAAAGGAAGACTTAAAGGCTCGATGTTTTTCCTACAACTATCACTGGCTACAGCTTTGCATAAAGTTCTTACACTTAATTACTTGAGCTTTCCATACACTTTATCTTATTGTATTCTAGGCACAAGGTCAAGTATATGTTTCAACTTAGTTAGCATGTTATCGAACTGATAATATGAAAAAAAACAGTCGTTGGTGATTTGTCTAGAGTCCTTCCATGGCTAGCGGTATCGAAGTTTGAGCACGATTTCTATTGTAGACAGTCAGCCATGATGGATTAGATGCAATAAAGACTTTATAAGGATCGTTTTTATATGAATGATAGTTTGATTTCAACCTAGAATACCTTCGTTGACTTTAAGAATCTTTATTAGTATTTTATACAGCATCCAGATGAAGAAAGTGACGGTGCCTGAAAGACGAGATTCAACCGCTGAGAACACTTATACAGTATTTCTAATACTAGATAGTTTCATTCGTGTAAATATACATTCAGTAGAGCCGATTGGATGTAAAAAAATTTGGACTCAAAATCGGTTCGTTAAAGTTTTCTAGACTTAGATTCGAATCTTACTCTTACTATTCTCAATGAAGTTTTCTTAATCTAAGTCTGACTGTTATTTCGAAGGTACACAATACTTTTTTCTCAGGCAATCTTGTAAAAATAAAGTTATATTTGGCTCTTACTTTCAGAGTGAGCACAGCTTGGATTGGTTTCGAACCTGATCCAATCTGACAGGCTCTAGTGTTCGATTACTCGCATTTGCCAACTGCTTCCTTCGAAATAAAATATCGGAATACAGTGCTGAATGTTATTTAGCTAAACGCATTGACGAATCATTTATTAAAAAAAGAATCTCAAAACTTATAGAATGTTAGCAGATAAATTTTGAAATCCTATAGATTAGTATTGATAGTATCATATTTGACAGAGCATCA